CTATTCAGGGTCTTTTATTGTTCCATATGAATTTTTGGATTGCCTCTTCTATTTCCTTGAAGAATGAGGTTGGAATTTTGATAGGTATCGCATTAAATTTGTAGATAGCCTTGGGAAGTATTGTCATTTTCATGATGTTAATCTTTCCAATCCAGGAGCATGGGAATTTTTCCCATTTTCTCCATTTGTAATAGCCCCACAAAAAATAAAATACCTAGGAATTAACTTAACCAAAGAAGTGAAGGACCTCTATGATGAAAACTTTAAAAACTTGAAAAAGGAAATCAAAACAGAACCTAGAAAATTTCTTGAACTCTTTTCCTCTTTCCTTACTCTACTGTCGAACTTATTGGTCACAGACTATTAAGCCTCTGTATCTTTCTGTTTTCTGCCTATATTTAAGCATAATTTAGCCTCCTTGGATATACAACTTTCCTCACAGAGATGGCATACTTATAAACTATTGTTGTAATTCTTCCAGAGCTGTCTTATCAATTAGATACTATAAGCACAGTACCTAATCCTCACATTACTTTACAGTATACAAAATATCTTAATTTTAATTTCTTTTAAAGTAAGAAGGAAAGTGAATGTAATTATAATGAATTATATAATAATTATTCTCATCTTTAAATCCATACAAAATAATTTTTATTGATTTCATAAATGAAAGAATCTACAATGAAAAAATGCCTAGGGCCCATAGAAATCATAATGACTTCTAAATTATCTAAGAGAATCTAATCCTAAATTCTCCCCCATTCAAAATGTCTTCTCAGCATACAAGACACTATGTTGAAAATGAACTTTATAACTTGTGGTGGGAAGCAGGGAGTTGGGGAGGTAGGAAGGGAAGGGATGGTAGGGGAAAAACACAGGAGGAGGTAACAATGCTTGATAGGAAATGTACTCATTACCTTACTCATATAACTGTAATCCCTCTGTACAGTATCTTTACAATAAAAAAAATGTCCACTCGGGTTTCCATAGGTAAATTCCAGACCAGAGGTGACTGAATAGTCATTTCAAACACTGATTTAGAGTGATGGTTATATAATGCACTAAACTTTTAAAAAATCAAGTTGTCACCTACATAGTATAAAGTTTATATGTAATATATTCCTCAAAAAAGTCACTTTTATTTTAATAAGATAATTAGCTATTCATGGGAGAATTTCATTGTGGCATTCCCAACAATGTAAATAATGCACTCCAGCCTTCTCCCATCATTCTCCTTTATCAATAAAATTAGTTTCTAAAAGGATATAAGTAAAAAGAAAAAGCAGAAACAAAGGTGTATCTAAAGACACAGAAAGATGAATTTCAAATAACTATATTTGTTTTGAGATTTGGAACTTTTTTGACAAAAATATGTTAAAACAATATGAGTTAATAGTTTGTTCTACCATAATAGGCTCATGTACATTTAGAACAATATGCAAGTATGGCAAAAGAACAGTGCCATCAGAAATGACAAAAGTCTCTATATGTGAAAATAATTATGGTGTTAACAAATGAACTTATTGTCGTATAATTAAGGGATCCTGGGTACAATTAAGAACAGGAAGGATACTGGAACTTCCCAAAGATATTTCTGTAAGCCACAACAGAAGAGTAAGAGCAAAAGAATAATTGGAACCACGTCCAAACCCACTTCCTAGTTATTTACCAATAGCATCTGAGAACACTGTTTAGATGCTGACATTAGACAATCTTGGATGAACAGCTTTAAATCATATTAAGACTAGAAGAAAATCAAAAGAATTTTATGACAAGGGTTAAAAGTTTATAGCCTTGAAACTACAAAAAGAAAATGGTGCCCACTACAAACCACATCCCGGCAATTCTTATGTCTCCACAATGAACAACTTAAAATGGTTTTGTTGTGGTCAATGCAATCATCTCTCAGCTAATAATTAGCTACTATTGAAATCAAGTATAATTTGTCTATTGTACACGAGATTGCTTTTAAGAACAGTACAAAATTTCATTTTTAGTAACTGACATTGAATGTAATAATCATTCATTATCCTATACAATCCAATCAAAACAAATAGAAAAGCCTGTTTTTACCACTGCATGAAATCTCAGTCTTTTTCCAGGCAGCTGAAATTAAGTGCAAGTGTAACATACTTAATGCAGGTAAACATTTATATTTTTTAAGATAAAATATTTTTTAAAAAACTGGTTTCCTATTATGCTACTTTGAAAAGTTTCTAAAAGTAGCATCTCTTGTTTATGTATAGCAGATTTTCATTTTTATTGGATTTTGGATCTAGAATGTATAGATGTTATCTTAAAGTGAAAGACAAAGTTAACTATGGTATCCCTACTATGAAGTTATATGATAATCAAATAATTGTGGCAAAATGCAATTTTGGTGTGATGGGGAGGGTGGTCCTGGGGCTTGAACTCCTGGGTGCTGTCCTGAGCAATTTTGCTCAAAGCTAGTACTCTACTACCTGAGCCACAACTTCACTTCTTGGTAACTAGAGTTAAAAGTCTCATGGTCTTTCCTGCCCCTGCTAACTTTGAACTGTAGTCCTCAGTTCTCAGACCTGTGAATAGCTAGGATTACAGGCATGAGTCACTGGTGCCTGGCTTGGATTTTTAACTTTTATCCAGTGTCTCAACCTACCTCAGGGTTTTCACAGCTAAAAAATTAGGAAAGGAAAGTACACACATACAGCAACTTCCCATATCTAGCATCTGTGATTCTCCCTGAAGGAGCAAGATCACTCCTTTGAGGAGAGATCTTTGATCTTTCTATTATACCACTAAAATTATATGACTCAAAGAGGCTGTTAAAAAAAACTCATACATAGTATTTCACCTTCAGCCATTCTGATGCTTTTTGAAAATTTCTATACACCTCCTTAATTTTGCCTAAGAGAAAAAAATCTCCAAAGCAGTGTTCCAAGTATACTATTTTCCCATGTATGCCATTTAAGTCTGAAATTCCCAACTGAGGTCTCTATGTCTAGAAAGTAATTTTTCCCACAGTAAAATGTCTCCTTGCACAAATTAGATATTTTCTTTTTTCTATCCTTGAAAAATTATCTATTCAGAATCAACTTCCACATATGGTACAGCATCTGGTTCAGATCCAGTTTTTTTTTAAAAAAAAAAGGAGGCAAAATGTCATGTTGAAAGTGACTTAACCCTTTTAATCCACTAGCTTAGTATTTACTACAATATAAATGAGAACTATCTAAACTAGGACTTCTTCATCTGGAGTCATAGAATTGTGAGAGTTAATTGAGTAGACACACACACACACACACACACACACACACACATATACATATATTGTGTGTATCTTTATTTCCATCAATCTCCAACTAAAATTCAGCATTTTCTTCAGTTATGCACATAGACAACAAAACTTCAAATTATTTTTATCAGTATCCCTGATTTGATCACCAACAAATATTAAACATCTTTTCATATATTTGTTATTGAAGATTTTTTAAAATATCATTTATGTTCAGAATAATAGTATTAGGCTCCTTTTTATATCTAGTGATTAACATGTGAATAAACATTGAATACATATGTGATAACACAGAAATGATCTTACTTTGGGATCCTAATTTCTCCATTTTATAAATTTAAAAGAATCATTCCAAGGTAAACACCACCAGACTACCAAGAGTCCCTGGCACGCATGAATACATGCACACACACAGAGGTGAAGACACTCAAGTAAAAAGAAGTTACAGAGCTGGATATTTGTGGCTTACAATTATAATCCAGACTACTCAGAAGGGTGAGATCTGAGGATCAAGGTTCAAAGACACCCTGGGAAGACAAAGTAGTAAGATTTATCTCTGATTAACCAGTAAAAAGCTGGGAGTGGAGATGTGCCTTAAGTAGTACTCCACCAGCCTTGAATGGAAAAAATAAAATAAAAGAGTTTGAGATCCTGAGTTCACTTGAATACCAAAAAAGTTAAAAAGGAGGAGGAGGAAAAAGAGCAAGAGAAAGAGGAGCAAGAGGAGGAGCAGGAGGAGGAAGAGAAAGAAATGGAGGAGGAGGAAGAAGAAGAATTGAAGGAAGAGGAGGCAGAGGAGGAGGATTTAATCTAAGAAGGTATCACCCAAACAAATGTTTTTACATGATCATCTCAAATGTACCTGAGAAGATAGCAGATTACAATCGATGAACAGTCCTCTTCCAGTTCTGTATCTCTGTATCAGTCCGGCCATGATGGCTCCGTAAGCATACAGGCCAGTAGCCAGATCAGTCATAGCCACTCCTGGACGAACTGGATCTCCATCCTGATGTGAAGATTGGATTGGGAAAAGCAGAGGATATTAAACATTAAACCACCATATGATTTCCCAAATATTCTGAGATTACATGAAAATTACATAAAAATTATATATGCAGGTATATGCACAAATTAACACAATAAATTATGGAGATATCTGTTGGTGATGAGAATATATTTATTTTTATTGTTACTATCAAGGAGATATAAAAAGGGGTTACAGTGACATAAGCCAAGTAATAAGTATATTTCTTTTTTAACAGTGTCATCCCATTCCTCGCTTTCCCACAGCTATTCCTTCCAATACCTCCTCCACAATTAGTATATTTCATTGTCAGCATTGTGTAGTGAGTTCACCCTTTGTCTCACTTACAAACAAGTCAAAAGGTACAGAAAGCAAGATAGCTGCTGTTAATAAACACCACATATATTCTGTTTATATCACCAATTTCTCTCCTAAGCTCCTACTAACCAAGTTAAAACAAACCAAATGAAATAAAGATTTAAAAAACAAAACAACTAAATTCCTTGTCAGTGTATTTCATTGTCTTCAAACCCAAAAAAATTAAATTTGAACAAATTGAGTCAATTTGTTAGGAAAGAAAGTAAAGCAGTACTTTTCTCTCATAGGTTGAATCTCTGAAAAAAAAAACAGAAACCACAAAAATAACAAACAAACATACATACATACATAGATACCTGATATATGTAGATTATATCTATTATATAGATATACCTATATATGTATGTATAATATGATATAAAACAGAATTTTATGAATACATCTAGAACAACAACATTTTATCATTTGCAAATAAATATATGGGCCATTTACATATATACACAATCAAACTAACTAAAGTATAGTATATACAAAGGAAGATTTCCACCCCTCTGAACAATTAACAGACAGCTAATGAAGGAGTAAGGAGGCTTATTAACAGTACAAATACTAGGAAGCTGAGACATGTCATGGCTCAGGGGTAGGACTTTAGGGGACGGAGGCAGATGAATGGAGAAAGGGATGGTGAGCAGATACAAGTATAATATTCAATGTACACATGTGAAAATGGAGCTAGGAAACTATTGAGGTTGGGATAGATGGGAGGGAGAAAGAATGATGGAAGGGGTAACAATGAGCATGATACATTCATTAACTGACATGATGAATTAAACCTCTTTATACAACTATTTTAAGATAATAAAATAATTTTTAAAGAAAGCACAAAATCTAGTTTAATTTCCTTATAGATATGCTAATGGTTGGCAAATATCCTATTGGCATTTTCTTTAAGAGGAATGCATAACTGTCTATAAAAGCTTTTGGCATGAAAATTCTTATTTCAGAGTACTATGATAAGCCTAAAACCTATAGGTAGAGGAAGAGATATGCATGGCATGAACCATGTAACAATCCAGGTTGGAAATGGAGTCATTAGAATCAATAATATAATGGAGTAATGGAGTCAATAATGCTGTGTTGTAATAGACAACTCAAGTCTTTCATGAAGGATATTATCTACTAGTCTGGGTTTGACAGTGTTGTCTATCATAAAAGGGAAATTCCAGTAACCTTTCTCAACATTCAGAACCACTCTTTGTTTTACATGTCCTTATTATTGCTTATATTCTTAAAATTGTAAATAAAGTTTAACACTGGATAACAACTCCAATTCACACTAATCTGATTTGACAATCTAATCTTTGTTTTACATGTAAAGCTATTAGAAGATGGCTTGACACCCAAGAAGTCTTCTGTACAAACCAGCAGTCAGTGTATCTGACATTTTCTACATTTTGCTACTTTAAATTTTGTTAAGGCTTTCATTGCACAAACTATCTAAAAAGCTCACACTTCATATTTCATCTGGTTGACACATTCATTCATTCATGCCCTTATTCGGTAATTCTAGCTGCTGTTGAATCATTTTTAGAAATGAGTTTCCTTTCCTGCAACCTATGTGTACACCGTGTTAGTTCTCTTACAAGAGTACTAAATGATGTTTTAAAATATATATATATATAAATGTTGGACTGTACAATAGCCAAAAGTTTTCCCCTGCTTTACAATGCAATTTCCAGGTATATATTGTCAGGAAACCTGGGATTATCTGGCAGCCTTCATTTTTGTCAAAATTTTATAGAAATTGAATTATAAACTTAAAGTTCAGTTTTTCATTGGGATTGAAGGTGACTGTATTAAGAGAGACAATTTCAAACTTAAGTTTATAATAGCTCTACTCTCACTATAAAATAAATATAATTATATTTTATCCTCTAGAGTTCTCATACCATAAGAATAACTAAAATGATAAACTCTTTACATTGTATTTTAAATTTCCTAAAAGTAAAGATTATGCCTAATATATATTTTTATTGAAAAGATACAATTACAGTTACATGAGTAAGGTAATGAGTACATTTCCTATCGAGCATTGTTACCCCCTCCTTTGTTTTTCCCCTACCATCCCTGCCCTCCACACTTCCCCAACTCCTCCCTCCCCAGCCCAAAGTTGTAAAGTTCTTTTTCAACATAGTATCTTGTACATCTCATTGTTATAGTGGGTCAACCTGTATCCTTATTTCAGCATCTTGTTATTTCCCTTCCCCTCCCCAAATTAGAAAAATGTATATACAAGTTGAAGGACACCGGAATCAAATACAGTGAAAACAGGGGGTATACCATATCACATAGCACATTATAAGTACATTCAAAACAACAGCAAGAAAGAGAAAACCTCTCATGTCCTTATCTTGGGGTTCATTTTGCTTAGCATCATCTTACACAATCATAAACAAGGCCATACTAAAGCTACCAGCACAACTATGTTTATCACAGCATTATTTACCATAGCTAAGATATGGAACCAACCCAGATGCTCTTCAGTAGATGAATGGATCAAGAAAATGTTTTATATATATATACACAATGGAATTCTATGCCTCCATCAGAAAGAATGACACTATCCCATTTGTTAGGAAATGGAAAAACTTGGAAAAATCACAGTAAGTGAAGTAAGCCAGGCCCAAAGAAACATAGGTCCCATGGTTTCCCGTATCTGCAATAACTAATATATGTCCAGGACAAGCAGCAGAGGTCAAAAGCTATGTACATATGAATATATGCCTAACATTCTGAAGCATCATCACATTATTCAAAATTTTAACATGAGATGTGTGGATATTAAGTAAACATTAATAACAATAAATAAATTACAAATATTGATATCATGTCACTCATGTATTAGAGACAACATTGTCCATGAGTTAAATGATTATTTGTGCCAAACAACTGAAAGAGGCCTAATAGCAGACTTTAGATTCAGAAATACAAATAGGTTGAAAATAAAAATATAGAAAACATATATAATTCAAACAGCAGCCATAAGAAAGCTAAAGTGGCCCAATTAGTACTGGATTTTATAATTGCTAGAGAAAAGAGTTTTTTGTTTGTTTGTTTGGTTGGTTTTTGGCGGTCGTAGGGCTTGAATTCTGGGCTTGGGCACTAGCCCTGAGCTCTTCAGCTCAAGGCGAGAGCTCTACTGCTTGAGCCACAGCACCGCTTCCGGTTTTCTAATGATTTATTGTAGATAAGTCTCACGGGCTTTTCCTTCCCTGGACTGGCTTTGAACCATGATCCTCAGATCTCAGCCTCCTGAGTAGCTAGGATTACAGGCGTGAGCCACAGGCGCCCGGTGAGAAAAGAGATTTTTTTTTTAAATCAAAAAGGCTCAAAGTATTATAAAGACATAAAAGTTATAAGCATATATGTTACCTGACAGAAATGACAAAATTTGAAAAGGAAAAAAAAGCTTTGAAAGAAGAAATAAATAACCCAAGAAAAAATAATATTAAGAATGATAATAGGAAACTTCAGTAGGAAAGTATGAATAGTAGATGAAACAAGTAAATAGAAGATAAATAATAAGATATTTGAAAAAAGTTGCCGGGCACCAGTCCCTCACATCTGTAATCTTAGCTACTTGCGAAGCTGAGATCTAAAGATCAGAGTTCAAAGCCAGCCTGGGAAGGAAAAGTCAGTGGGACTCTTTCTTATCCTTAAAAGGCCAAAAGAAGAGCTGTGTCTTGGGTGGGAAAGCACTAGCCTTGAGCAAAAAAGCTCAGAGACAGTGCTTGGCCAGAGTTCAAACCCCATTTCAAGCCCCATTACCAGTAGAAAAGAAAAGAAATTTAAAAGAAGTTAATTCATAATCCAGAATGTAGCTCACCTGTAGAGTTTTTACCTTGCATCCATAATTTCCTAGTTAGATCACCAGCACCAAAAAAAAGGAAGAAGGAAGAAAGAAGAGGTGGAGGAAAAGAAGAAGGAGGAAAAGGAGGAGAAGGAAGAGGAGGAAGAGGAGAAGATGGATGAGGAGGATGGAGGTAAAAGGGAGAACAACAAGGAAGAAGAAAGAAAAAAAGAATTGAATTCATACGAGATACATTTGCAAATCACAATGGGATAAAATTAGTGACAAAGTACCTTTGGAAAACTCAAAACTATGTAACAGCAACACAGTCCCAAAATATTAGTAAGTAGCAGCAGAAATAACACAGGAAATGAGAAAATATTTTGATATGAATGAAAATAAAAGTACAAGAGTTTGTAACTTACAGAATGCAACTAAAGCACTGTTTGTGGGACATTAATATGTCTGCATTTAAAAAGAAGAAAGATCTCAGATCAATAGCCTACCTTTATTCCATCTTAAGAATAAACTAAAACTGAAGCAAGAGAGAGGAAGGAAATAATACAGATTTGAATAAAAAATTTTAAAAAGTAAAAATAATAGAAAAGCAATACAGAAAATCTTTCTTACGTCAGTTCTCTAGAAAGACAAATTTGGTAAGAAAAAAAAATTAGCTTAATTTTCAAAAAAAAGAGTTAAATAACTGAAATCAGAAATAAAAGAAAGAACATCACTACTGTAGTGACATTTCAGAATTAAAAAGGAGGGTATGGGCATAATAAAATGCTTTTTTCCCAGATTCACTGGAGGCAGA